TGTGAAAATGATCATACTCTCAAAACTGTTACACATATTTAATGAAATCCTGATTAAAATACCATTAGCATGCCTAACAGATCTGGACAACACATCTCTAAATTCACCTGGAACCACAAGAGACCTACAATGGTAAAGGCAATCTGGGGCAACAAAAGCAAGGCAGGAGGCATAACAATCTTTGACTTGAAATTATACTACAGAGTTAACGCAATAAAATGAACATGGTACTGGCAAAAAAAAAAAAAAACAAACAGATGTGGGGATCAGTGAAACCGATTAGAAGATGCAGATATAACTATACACTCAGCTACCTTATCTTTGACAAAGGGGTCAAACATGTTCACTGAAAGAAAGACAGCCTCTTTAACAAATGGTGCTGGAAAAACTGGCTTTCCATAACCTGAAGACTAAAACTTGACCCATGTCTATCACCATGCACTAAAGTAAAGTCAAAATAAATCAAAGATCTAATTATTAAAACAGAAACTCTAAATATGCTAGAAGACAAAGTAGGTAGAACTCTTGAAGACACGAAGTAGTCAGAAAGTTCGTGAACAAAAACCGCACTGCACAATGCTTCAAAGAATCAGCAACTCTGATCTCATCCTATTAAAAAGTTCTTGCACATCTAAAGAAATCAAGGACAGAGTGAAAAGACAACCCATGGAATAGAAAAACTTTTATCTAACAGTCCTTCAGACAAAAGACATATCTAGAACATATAAATAATGTTTAAAACTCAGGTCCTCCAAATTCAAAAACCCAGTATAAAAATGGGCATCTGAGATGAATGCACACTTCACAGATGAAAAAATACACATGGCAAATAAATATCTGAAAAAAAAATGCTAAACATCACTGGTCATTCAAGAAATACAAATTAAAACAACACTGAAATTCCATCTCACCCCAGAAAAAATGTCTATTATTTTTTAAAAAATCAACCAATAACAAATGCTGATGGGGTTGTGAGGAAAAAGAAATTCTTCACAGTTGGTGAGAGCATAGACTGGCACAGCCACTGTGGAAATCAGTGTGGAGATTCCTGAAAAAACTAGTATTAGAGGTTCCATTTTTCCAGAAGAACTAAAACATCATACCATAGCAATCTATGTGCACCCACATTTGTAGCAGCACAGTTTGTAATAGCTAAATCTTGAAAACAACCCAAATGCCCATCAACTAAAGAATAAATTTTTTAAATGTGGTATTTTTATACAATGCAGTATTAGTCATCTATAAAGAAAGATAAACTTGAGGCTTTTATAAGTAAATGGATGCAACTAGAGACCATACTCGTAAGTGAAATAAATCAGACCTGTGTGTTTAAACATCATATTATCTCCCTAGTGTAAGAAACTGAAAGAGTTAGATCCAAAAGATGCAACATATACTGTGAAATGAAAGGAAGCTACTCAAAAGGAAAAAAAAAAAAACTAGAATGCAGGAAAGGAGAAAAGAAGGAAGGAAAAAAATAATAAATATATAAATAGCTAATATAATTGTACTACTAATTTCTGTTTAATTTTATGTATTTGGTACCAGGTCTCACTATGCATCTTGGACTGGTAGTGATCCTCCTGTTTCAGTGCTCCCAATGCTGAGATAACATACATGCACCACCGCGCCTGTTCTTGGTGGCAGGTTTGGCATGCCTGGGGCAGGGATTGAACCAAGGTCCTTGCACTTGCCTAGGCAGCACTTAAACTACTGAGCTATCTCTGCAGCCCAGTACTACTAATTTCTGTTAGTTCATTGAGAGGAAGTGTTATTGCTTATAGTTTTTGATCAATTTTGCATGCCTACATCTTAAAACCTGAGTAACTACTTTGAAGATAACCATATGCAATATAATAACTATTGTTAATTTTCTATCATCTTGTTTTGAAATTCTGTATCTTTTTTGTTCTCTTTAAAATAAAAATAAATGAATAATAAATTAATTGGACAAGAACAAAGTTCTGAGGCTCACCTCAGTGATCCAAATGACAAATGAAGAGCTAAATTCTTTTGGAGGGGAGGGACCGCTCAGGGCAGGATGATCCCTTTGGGAAGTTTGGATTTCCCATGTTCAGTACCAGTGAAGGAGGAAACAAAAGTTAAATGATCAGGGGCTCAGACAAGCAGGAAATGACCTCCAGCATCATCTGAGTCTCTCATTGTACAGGAAAAGGCACTGCAGTAATGGGGTGATGTGACTTCCCCAGGGTCACCACGCTAATGAGTGCCAGCTATTGTCTTTTTGCACGCAGTTGTTTGAGGTCTGAGTATAGTAAATGATTCTTCGCTGTGGTTTCTCACCACATAAAATTCTTCCAACAATTCAAGTCTATTAGCACATATTCTTGTCATTGCTCTTAATGCTTTGCTATAGTTTGGGACATGAGTGCTCCCCTGCCCCCACTGCTCATGTGCTAATGTTTGGTCTTGAAGGTGGTGCTACTGGGAGGAAGTGGAACCCTCAGGAAGTAGAACCTGGGGCTGTGGAGATAGCTTAGTGGTCTAAGTGCCTGCCGAGGCAAGTGCAAAGACCCAGGTTGGATCCCAGGCATCAGGTACTGTGCTGGCCCCACCCCAGGCATGCTGAGCCAGCCATCGAAAGCTGGCATGATGGCACATGCCTGTAATTCCAGCTCTGGGGAGGCTGAAACAGGAGGATCACTATGAGTCCAAGTTGCATAGTGAGACCCTGTACCAAATACATAAAATAAAACGAAGGAGAAGAGGAAGGAGAAGGAGAAGAACCTGGAAGGAGGTCTTGAAGTCACTGAGAGCATGTGCAAGAAGAGAGCTTGGGGGCCTGGCTCTGCCTCTTCCTGATTGTTCCCTGGCTTGTGAAGGCAGTAGCTTTTCTCTGTCAGGCACTCCTGCCAGGATGTGCTGCCTTGCTGGGGGCCTCAAAGCAGTAGAGCCAGTTGAACATGAGTTGCACACTCTGAAATTCTGATCCTCTTTACTTGTTGATTATTTCAGGTATTTTGTTATAAATGCATTATTTTTAAAGCAGTAGACTGCCTGGAAGATTTTTAAAATCAATTCACAGTCACATTGGTTTGGTCTTAGGCAGATACTCAGTGGTGGTGGTGCTGGCTTTTGTCCCACTCAACTATGCCCTTGCTGTAGCTGATGTCTGGGGCACAGGACTTTGCTTGGGGCCTCTTTAGTGGGGCATCATCCTGGAGTCACATGAGCAGAGGTGAAACACACAAAGAGGTAACACTCCTGCTTCAAGTTAAGAATTCCCCACATCCCTTGAGTCCTGCCCTGTACAACACCATAAAAAACACACATTCAGTCTAGCAAGGGTGCTCATGGTCTTTTATCATCTCTGAAAAAAAAATTTGTTGTTCACCTCAATCCCTGGTCTTCCCTTTCTTCTCTTCTCCTTGATTCTCTCTCTCTCTCTCTCTCTCTCTCTCTCTCTCTCTCTCTCTCTCTCTGACAGGGTTTTGCTACACAGTTTAGGCTGGCCCTGTGCTCACCTTTATAGCCCCCAGGCTGATCTCAAACTCACAGCTATCCTCCTGTCTCTACCTCCCAACTGCTGAGATTGCAGATGTGCACCACCATGCCCAGTGTCAGGGTCAGCATGGCAGGCCTAGGGTTCCAGGCCCACGTGGCATGAGGTACGAAGGATCAAACTCAGGATCTTGTGCTTTACAGGAAGGTACTTATACCTCTGAACTATCTCCCCAAACCTTTGCCTATTTTTTTAGTCAAAATATTTCCTTTGGGCCCAGTCAGCTCCATGTGCAGAGAGCAAGAAGAGAGAAGACTGGAAAGACTGTGAGCCACGGGGAGCAGGTTCTTTGCTCAGCCCAGGCTATTTACTCCCTGCCCACAGGGCCTGAGTTGGGACAGTGTTCCAGGAAAGCATGCTGCTCTTAGTTCAGATCAGAACATAGAGTTCCTCACCAAACTTGTCACTCATTACAACAGGAATCCAGCAAATAGTTATTTAACATTCAGAGGCACTAGACTCAGAGAAATGAGTTCTGTTCCTAATTTCAAGTTTCCTGATTCTAAGCAAGGCATCTGACCTTTCCCAATAAAAATGGGGTGGAATGATTGCTAAGACCTCCAACAGCTCACTTGTCCTGTGGGTAAGGTCTTAGAGTCCATGGCCCAAGCTATAAAGTGTGGCTACTAATGCCTGATACCTGCAGATATGAAAGAGAGCTTATCTTCAAGATGTGTCATTCATGGGAGAGCTCTTCATGCAGGGCTGGATTCACCCAGCAGAGGTGAAGGCAGCTGCCAGATCAAGGAGTGAGGGGATCCCCTCCTATGGGGAGATTAGAGTGCTCTTCACCCCAGCGAGTGCAATTGGGAGTGGTTTAAATGAGTAGCTTACTGCCAGATTAATGAGGAAGTTTTCCTTTGGAACCTAGAACTTAACCTGGTCTCTTCCTTCTTGATCACTTTGCCTTTCATCGGGCTCTCAGGTCCTCTGCTATCTTCTCGCCCCAGAGCAACAACTACTTTCAAGCCAACTTTTGAAAAACTTATACCTAGGTATAAATAATTGATAAGACAATAGATGAAACTTCTCATGATTATTTATGATTTTATAGAAAGTAACATCCTTTCTTATCTTCAGCCAGGAGAGAACTGAAATGACTGAAGAATTTCAAACCTCAACAAATATAATTTTGTTTTCTTTTTTTTTTCTTGATATGTTTTGGCTTTACATTCCATTAAAAAAATATACCCAAACATGGTAGTTTCTTCCATCAACATGAGCAGTCAATCCACAGGATCAAATCAAGTAGTAAATGTTTAATGAATTCTCCTTTGCATGAGCACTTATTAAAATGACATTTCTTTTTAGCATGTCACCATGCTGAATTATTTGAGTTCAGATGACTTCCCTCCTAATTTTACCATGAGACTATTTCACCCAGTGCTCTGTCTGGCTGCCATTCTCTCTCTTTGGCAATGGTGAGATGGATTCTTTTTCCGTTGGGGATAAGAAATCTGTGGTTTGCTGCCTTTGCCAGTAACAACACTGGAAAGCCAGGTGGTAAAGCTGTTGCCATTGGCATCTTTCACATGGGCCACATCAAAAGAGCCAGAATGTCTCTCCATGTTGGTGATCACACCAATCCTTCCCACATTGGCACCTCCAGTCACCACACTCAAGTTGCTAGAGTCAAACTTAATAAAATCAGTAATCTTGCCAGTGTCCATCTGGATATGTCATTCACCTTGTTGAGGGGATCAGAGGAGTGAATGGTGTGAGTATCGTGGGTCGCCACATGTGGGATTCCTTGTTAGACCACAAGGGTCTTTCTCACTTTCCCAGGACATAATAGATGCTCACTAAAGTTTTACTGAATGAACAAACAGATGTTATCATGCATAAGTGCTGATTCTACTTTCCGGGACTAGACACAGTGAGCATGTGAATTAGCAAGATCAGAGATGTCACATAGTCACACACAACTATTCCTTTTTATTAAAGCCTGAAATATAAAAATAAAGGGATTGCAAGATCTTTGTTACAAGAGTAGTAAAATTAAGTGACTTAGAAAAGGTGTACTGTACTGGGTCTAGACATAGCCACACAGGTGAGATTACTGCAGTTTATTAAAGCTATTACAGATCCATCACACACACACACACACACACACACACACACACACACACCCCTCAGAATACATTCTGAACAGTGGGGAGCAGGTCCCAGGCTCTTCTCCAGGGCCCATTCCCTTAGAAACCCTCACTGTGCGTGGAGGATGATGTGTGCCTAAAGCATTTATGCAGATTACCCTCGCTCAGCCGAGAGGCTTTGCCTGGGAAAACCACCAATTCTTTCCCCACAAGAATGCCCTGACAGATGAAGGTGGAGGAACATCAGATATTAATAGCATGCTAAAGCATGCAAATGTTGATTTGTATTTTTCTGGTTGACAGACAATATTTTAGACTTTGCAGAGAACGAAACTACTGATATTTGGCAGTGGGTTTGATGCCCTTCACACTTAGAAATCACTTCATTTTGTGGAGTCTCTGCTGTGAAGAAAGGTTGTTTTTGAAGTGAGGGTGATGTTCAGAAGTACCTCAGCAGTCCACGGTTTATTTTGGGATGTGGGTAAATCTCTTGTAATGACCAGATGTGCTGAAAACACGACTGAGAAATAAACACAAACTGCTTACAGAATAACATTTCTTAGCATCTAGCTCCTGAATTTGGAAGGCTTCAGGTTCCATGAAAAGAGTTTCTCTGTTCCTATGTTACATATGAGGTAAAAGAACCCCAAGCCCCCAGAATCTGGCAGGTGTAGATGACCATGGTGTCAACTTTTCCGTAATTTTTTCTTTCTCTTTCTTTTATATTTTTATCTCTAGTCTCAGTCTTTCTCGTTTCTCCCTCCCTTTCTGCTTTCTCTCTCACTTTATTTGTCCTTTTATCACTAATTTCACTATTTCCAGTTGGAGAGCGTCATACAACGCATGCATACTCATAGACATCTGATATATTTTTAATTAATTGTGGTATACACATTCATTGAATGTTTATATAGGTCTATAGAATATATTGGGAAACATTAAATATTTATACATGGACATAGTAATTACTAGCAAATGTGTTATAAAAGTATTAATGTAGTCAATTCTATGTCCAATATTTGGACAATCTTCTGAATAAAAATCAGTGCACTCAGTTACACTTCCTCTGCTTTTATTTCTTCCTACCAAGCTCAAAACGATTCAAAAAGAATAACAAATGACCAAAACATAAACCTTACAGAATTCACAGATATGATTTCTTTACCAATACACAGATTTCACAGAAGTAGCCATTTGAGTCCTATTTGAAAGGTTATCCAAATATTACTGTGTTTGACCTTTTGCAGTTCTAACATGATCCACAATCTAGCTCTGCCTTCTTTGCTTAAATAATCCTGCAACTCCAGTTTAATTGAGTTCAACTTGTCTTACCTGCGGGAGTGATGCTGAGGAGAAAAGGTACCAGCATAAAATCAGTCTGCATCATGACGTCTGCTGTAGAGAGTGCCTTCCTTGTTCACCAACAGAGAACTCCGTGGTCTGGAGTCTAAATGAGCCCAGATAGTAAGCCCCCACCCCAGGCAGGGGTAGAGAGAAGCGAGCCTTCAGGGCCTCGCTGGGCTCCTCACTCCTCGGAGTGCACTTGAGCGAACTCCAGCCAGCTGTCAGGTGCCACGGGTCTAAGACACACCCCTGGGTCCTAACTCCTGACTTATTAGCCTGATCTCTGGAAAACAGCAGGAGGGGGATAGAAAGGGGACAAAGCCTGCAAATTTTGAAATCTGTGGATTCTTCTCATGGAAGAAGAGCTATATAAAGGACTATTTTTATGTTATCAATTTTTAATCTCTATTTTTAAGACTTTTTTGTACTAGGAACTGAACTCAGTACCTAAGATCTGCATAAAAGGGAAAAGCTACAATAACAATAAATAACTTTATTATCTCTGCCCCCAAGACACCCTGGAGTTCCTCATGGTGCACCTCACCAAACAGTGACGTCTACTTCCCACCTGGCCTTCATTCTCAGGGGTGACACAGGACTTTCACTACGTCCCCTGAGCCCTACAGGCCACATCATTCATGTACAGATACACTTTCAGCTGATCCACTCAGTCCTGATTAGAACTTTTGCTTACTTGTAGGAGAGGCACTCCATTTTTTTCTTTAAACTTTTTAAAAATCATTCATGTGGTACAGGATCTCACTCAGACTCATAGTGATTGACTCTCCTGTCTCAGCCTCCCCAACACTGAGATTATTGGCATGCACCACCACACAGGGCCTGCACAGCACGCAGTGCCAGGGATTGAACCCAGGCCCTTGTGCTTGCCAGGCAGGCACTTAAACAGCCGAGCTATCTTTCCAGCCTGGAGGTAATTCATTTTAAGAACATTTAGTATCTATTTTCCTAATCAATCACCACGCAGATTTGGTTTACTTCCTTCTAGCACAAAAGGGTGAGTGCGTGGGACACACACCCTCAACACAGTCAGGTGGTTATCCATTACCTACCTGTGCTTCTGTCCTTCACTAGAGCTGTTACTGTCTGGACTATGGAATTTGCCACTACTAGATAAGAGAGTATCTTGGTATGGATGTTGAGAAAAGGGGAATGCCGAGATTGTTTCATGAACCCTACGTGACAAAGGGGAATAGCACAGCTCTGTGATTTAGAGTAGGCTGGGTGACCATGAACCAGGGTATTGATGAACAAATAGACGTGGGCCTGGAAGAGGTCTCTAGGGGGACTGCACAGCTCTGACAGTTCTGACATCTGGCCAGCACAGGAGACACACTTTTCAGATTTTCAGGTAGCACAAAGAAGAGTGGCTGAACAACATTAACCTGTACACTCCCGGGCAGTCGCTGTCACCTGCTGTACACGACGGAAGCAGGTCCACAGCGGCCTTGAAAGTCTGGGGCCAGCCCATCCTAACCGCATGGATTATTGCAGTAATCTCATTTGTGTTAACTGGGACAAAATATATCTTTCTGATTTTTTTTTTCTGCAAAATTTTGAACAAAGTTAGAAACACTAAATCCATAGAGTTATCCTTGTAACTAATTTTCTTGATTTCCCGGGAAGATCACACTATGAATGAAACACTGAAAACATCTTGGTCCCCGAAGGCCAGGCACCCGATGCAGTTTGAAGCGTGAGGTCAGCAGGAGGTCGGAAGAGCGCCCGGAGGGCTGGAAGCGGGACGGTGAGAAAGGGTTGAAGGTCAAGGCGCTTGGCAAAGAAGCCTAGGGCAACGGCCTTGCTGCGCCGGAGCTGACCCACCCGCCGCCGCCCGCAGATCCAGGGCGCACCCTGAGTCCCGCGGGGCACCAAGACCGACGCCGGCGCCCGAGGGCCCCGCTGCCGCCCGCCTCCCCGCGCTGCTCCGGGACTCCTGGGCTCGCGGCGAGCCCCCACTCACACCCCCCAGCGGCCCGCGAGGGTCGGCGGTGCGGGGCTGGGGCTCCCCACGCCCTCCGGCGCCTCCCGGCTCTGGCGTGAACGCTTCCTGGGAGGGCGCCGCTTGTGTCCCCGCGCCAGACCCACCGCCCGAGCCCTCGGTGGGCTCCGCACCGTCCGCCGCCTCTGCCCGCAGGTGCCGCGGGCTCTGGCGCCCCTGAGCGGCGAGCGCGCGCACTGCAGCCCGGCGCCCCCGGGACCCACTGCTGCGCGGCCCGGAGTGTAGACCCCGCGCCCGCCGCGCAGAGCCGGCCCCTGGGTACCCTCGGAGGCTCGAGGCTGGGCCAAAGCCCGGGCTCACGCGCAGCCCCACTGCGGGAGCCCGCGTCTGGCGCCGAGGCCCGGACCAGAGCTAGCTGACTGTAAAGGCTGGTGGCTGAGGGCAAAAAGGAGGACGAGCGCCCGAGTCAGAACCCCTGCTTTTGCCCCTTCAGGGCTGCTTGGCCTGGATGAGTAACTTCTGCGCGCAGCTACACAGTCGCTCTGGGAGCTTGTCAGCCCTGGCTGCGTCCAGTCGCACCTGTTCCGAGTGGTGCGGGGCTCAGGTTACTCGCCTTCCTGGGGGGCCCAGAATTGACCCAGTTTGGAAGCCGGAAGCTGGGTGTTAGGGCATGGAACACGACACTTGCCGCTGGCAGTGCAAAAGCAAAGCAGAAGCGCGCTCAGAGCTCTCCGCTGCTGTGGGTGTGCATTTTGTGTGTGATTTTATTAGACCCAGCAGGAGGCAGATTTACGATTCCACCGCACACCTGCTGCCTGCCTGTGCCCCAAGCACACATTTGAGTAAGACCTGCCAGTGATGGGTTTCTAAAGATTACATAGCAACCATCCTAGCATGGTCCTCTGCTCCAGCCTGATGCTTTGAGAAAGGATGCCCTTTTTATCTGACTTGAGAGTAAAGAAAGTGATAGAGCAGAGCGTTCATACGTTCAAGTGTCTATTCAACTTCTCTGTGTTGATTCCTCCAGTTGCTCATGCTGCAACCAGTCTGCCACCAAGTTTTTTTACATTCTCTCTGCCTTCAAATCACATCCGGTATCTCAAAACATGACCCTTCCAACTGCTCCACTTCTGTTACCCAGATGCAGTGGTTTTCAGACTAGAGGATCATCAGACTCCTGGTGAGCTAGGAGAGTTAGCGTTAGTCAGTCTTCTGTCACTTTAACATCAACTCATCAGAAAGGTTTATTTTAGCTCAGTCTTGGAGGCTCCAA